CCCAGTAAAAGACTATGGGTCTGTTACTGACGCTGAGTGCATGTGACATACGCACACATATAGATAAAGCTGACTGCTCAAGCCTGAAAGAAGGAAGAGCTGAAATGAGGAAAAACTTAATTGTTCTGAGATCCAGTGAAGCCCCATTATAAATGCCAAAAGGGCGAAACCAACACAAGTGGGAAAGTCTTCTGTTTAAACTCATCAGTTCTGATTTTCTGTGTGTCTCAAACAACTCTCATTGTTTGAGTTTAGGTGATACCAGTGGTATGTAAATATCAATTTGTGAATGCAAAAAAGACACATTCGTGTCTGCTCGACAGCCATGACCGTGAGCTACTTACCAGCATGTGCTTGGATATTATACTTTATCATACTTAATAATAATGCTTATAAAATGCTGACTAAAATCATTCCTCCATCTTGGGACATCTAGCAAAGGACACAGCCCTCATATGAAAGTGACTCAGATGGCTACTTTGCGGAAAATCCAATCTGTTTGTTCCCTGTGTAAACTTTTTTTTTTTTTTAAATCACCAAGTGCATGGGGAAAAAAAAAATACAGATCAAAACTTCCATCATAGATTCTGTAAGACTCAGTAGCCTGTTGGGGACCAACTAGATTAAGCATAATAATTAGGAATTATAGTTCAGTGTTCCCACATACTTTGAACAATGAATTTCAATTAAGTGTTCTGTCATTTGTTATTATTTGGATAAAGATTTATATATATATATATATATATATATATATATATATATATATATATATCTCACACATTATTATGTGATAAGGGAGACCAGGGCTGGTTGTCACATTGCAGTTGAAATATTCTCAGGAAAATGGAAAATTCTCTGAGAGAGAGAATGTGGGGTAACATATTTAGCTAGGCTACCATGCAATAAACGCTTATACATTAGAGTAGAGTATAGCCTATATGGGCTGCTGTTTAATAAAGCTGTAGGGTTTCTCAGGGTATTTCGGTTCAGTTTCAATGTCATTGTTGTGCATAAGATAATCTCTGCATAAAGGTAACGCCCTATTATTATGAAAAAGTTAATAACGCAAGATGGGTGTATGACGAGGGCTCCAGTATGCGTTATGACGCACATTATTGTCGTACGAGGTTATTGTGTGAATAGGCTACTACGGTTGCGGGGTTGAATCTCGTGCAAATATAAAACGTGCATGGCAACATCTAAAACAACTGACACCTCCAGATACGCCTTTAGTAATCTAGCCTTTAATCTTTCTGTACAGCACTTCTAAAAGCATAAACAGGTTATAATTGTCAGGCTCAATGCAGTCAAATCAATATCGATTCAAATTAATAAAATAAAAAGTAGGCTACAGTAACAAAATGTTGCTTACCGAGTATTAGGCACGCGATGTCAAGCAACATAAAGGGGATTCCTCTGGTTTCGAACATCGTGTCGGTATCCTTCTGTGTGTCAGTTATGAAGATGAAATGTTTATTTAAGGCGTCCCCCAGTGCTCCCACCACAGTAAACAGACAAACGGAGAGTCCACTTCTAGAGCTGAACTACTGACAGAAACGCACACTAACGCAAGCTCACACACTCTTAACATTGACTGCGCAATGACGACAAGTAACGTTAATCAGCCGGAGAGGAGGTAGAGCGAGCTACTTGGTTGTAGTTCCTTAAATAAGATGACCATTTCACCGCATGAGGTTAATAATAAGCGATGGCGAGCCGGTATGTCTCGGGTGTCTTCGGACTCACTGCCTGCCAGTGCGGAGAGAGCTTCTGCTAGCTGACGGCCATCAGCTGACGATTAGTATACAGCCAATCGCATGTCTCTCAGCAATAGCCACGCCCCTTGACTACGCCCATCCGCGCATGTAATTAAATCTAGGCCATATCATGAGTCGTCAAAAACGAGAGTCGGTCTAAGAAAAAATATACATCAACCTACTTAGCAGTTTTTGTTGTAATGAATCACTAAGTAATGAATTGCTGTAATTTAATTACCTTTCCCTTAAAAATTACTCTTATTTTTTATGCAATTTTATTAAATAGGCTATTGTAGACTTCCGTTTAAATGGTATGTTTTTAATAACGTTCATATAAATACTTTGGTTGAAGCAATTTTATTGTATTTATTTGAAAGAATTAAAAATGCAGTTTCATGTCTATCCATGTAGGCATTATTGTTCAACTGATCGAGGTTAACATAGGATTTAGAAAATAATTAGTAATTGGTTACGTTTACTTTTTAGAGAGGATTACAGTAACCTAATTACACTATTGAAGATAGGCCTACCAAAAATCGAGAATAGCTAGTCGGAAGGTACCGATATACCACCAAGCCTACGCGATACTCCATCCCAAAGTAGATACAATGGGTAAAAAAAGCATAGGCTGCTTCAGCATTTAGGTCACTTTAAAAACAATGCTTTTTTTATGATGTAGCCTATTTGTTGCAATAGTCGTAAAATAATAATGAATAAACACATTAGTAGCATAAATAAAAAGCCCTACACAAAGATATACAAATTTAACAATGCTGTATATTTCTTCAGGTATAAGGCAATGCAACAGTATTCAAGTAAAAATACCACTGAAATTGAATAATCAAATATAAGTCATAACTGTAAGTTAAATCCTAAATCTTAATCCTTATTAAAGCTTTTCTTTTGTTGTTTGATTCTCATTAATATTAGGCCTAGACAGAGCAGCTACCAATCAGCTCATTTGAAAATCGCGTGTCTAGGCCTATCTGTAAAACCGCATTTTTCCATCTTAAAAATATATCTTAATTATGCCACATGCTCTCATTGACAAATGCGAAACAATTAGTTCATGCGTTAATATGACATTAAGGCTAGATTACTGTAATGTTCTGGGTGGTTGCCCTGCACGCTTAATAAAAAAACTACAGCTGGTTCAAAACACAGCAGCTCCAGTTCTTACCAGAACCAGGAAGTATGACCCCATTAGCCTGGTTCTGTCTTGGCTGCCTATTAAACATTGTATACATTTTTAAAATATTGCAGATTACTTACAAAGCACTAAATGGTTTAGTGCCCCAATACTTGAGTGGGCTCTTAACGCATAGTCCTTCACCCCATTGCGATCTCCAAACTCCGGCCAGTTGATACCTATAATATCTAAATCGACTGCAGGTGTTAGATCCTTTTCCTATTTAGCACCACTCTGGAACAATCTTCCTAACATTGTCTGGGAAGCAGACACACTCTGTCAGTTCAAATCTAGACCAAAGACACATCTCTTTGGCCTAGCAGACTTCCTTAATTCAAAAATAGTTTAGATCAGCCTAAATATTGTTTAAATATAGTGTGATAAGCCTAATTTTGAAATATTGGATGATAATAATAATATTCTTAATAAATAATATGTATCGTACCAAATGTCTATAATAACAAAAAGAAGAAGGTTCTGAGAAATATAGGCTAGTCAGCAGTCAAATCTAATGTTTACAATGTTTAAAGTAGATCTGTAAAAAATAAATAATGTAGGCCAGGCTAATAATGATTTAATTACAGAATACAACAAAAATAAGATGTGACTTTGTTAAGTCAATAAAAAAATATATTTATTTAAATGTTGTATTGTTACAAATTACCGGCGATACGTTGCTGCCATCTAGCGGTGAAGGCCACACAACACATTCTCATTCTTAGTCGATGATAAATCATAGCGATAATATGCAGACGCATGAAAATTAGTCATTATTTTGCTTTATTTTCTGCTTCGTCCTCACAAAATCTAAATGATTTTTAATTTACAATAGGCCTAAATGAGAGCGAGTTTTTCCCCAAAACAACATATTTAAATAATACAAATAGACATACAAGCTTTGAGTTTTGGGGTGAAAAAGGTCCCCCAATAAATAAATATTTTAAGCCACTGTACACCGCTCTTGAAGTGCTAGTTTGCACCCTGATGTCTTTTAATACCCGTCAGACTTGTTTCTTCTGCCCGAACTTCAAAAAAAAAAAAAAAATTCCGCAAAATCTGAAGGTTGTAAATTGTGAACAAATACAAGCATTTGGAAGAATCATTAAATCATCTCTAACCAATACTGTTAATATTCAGTATAAAAGCATCATCGAATCCTTCAATTCAAATGATCAAGTATGATCAAGGTCTCTCTAAAAATCAATATTAGAATTTGATTTCCAATTTCAAAAACAATTATAAATGTGTTACGTAATCACTTGAGTAAAATAAACTCCCCTTATAATAACCATCTGGTACCACTAGGCGGCGCCACAACATTAATAAATCAAGGCTAACATAAAATGAATTGCAGTTCTTTGAACCGCTCGTCATGTAAACTGCCAGGACAGTTGTCAAGATACATGCATTAAGAAGACCCTTAATAGTCTTACTCAACGATTCTCAATTATACATTAACAGCAATAAGGCATTTCTTTGCATTCCAAAAAAAAAAAAAAAATTGAAATGTCATTTGCACTAGTAGTGTATAGCCTAGTATATACTCTCTAAAGATAGCAGTTTATCAGCGTAACTCGCAGAGCACGTGAAGTGGATCACACACATATCATGAGCTGCATCTCCGTAATTTTGTAACGATCCAAGGAGACTGAAGGTCCTCCCACGCTTCACTGTCTTCTGGGAACGTCTGTCTGCTCTGATCCTGTGGCGTCTTTCGGTTATCTCATTGTTTGGGTGTGTGCTTCTGTCTCACTAAAACCGGCTCTTCACTGAAGGCAGTATACTGTATAATTCCTCCACTTCTCCTCTCATGCATAACATCAATTAATTCTGTCGCCATTTACTCGCGCTCGTGTCGTTCCAGGCGAATCACTGTGGAACACAAAAGGAGAAATCCTGAAGAATTTACAGATTGCTCTTTTCCATGTGATTAATACAATGCGCTTTAAAACTTAAAACAAATGCAGCAAAAGCAGGTTACTTATTTTAAATAGGACTGTGTTGAACATGTCAATAATGTTAGGCCTAATCGATTCTCATTTTTTGAACCAATCTTGAGTAGCCTATTAGCCTACTTCCCAAGTTGACACAAGCTTTGTGCATTGCTACTTTTGATTTGAAACAAAGTCTCAGCTTTGCAATTCTGTCTATTGAAAGATACAAACAATTGATTTCCTGTGGCGTGACAGATTCAGATTAAGCAAAGCAGCAGCACGTGAACAGTGTTCCTGAACACGTGTCATAAATCGATCAATCAGTGTTTCAACTTCGGGAAAGACGTAAATAATACAGCTTGTAATATCACGTAAAGCTACATCAAAAATGTCATTCATAAACTCGATAGCCAGCTAGAAAAATGAACTCTAGAGAGGAACATTTTTCTAAATATGTACTATATTATACTTTTCCTTAACTTGTTCTTCAGCTAAATCCGCCATGAAAACGGTGTTTATGACAGACACATCTCCACTGAAAAACAACAACAACAAACTAATAGAAACCCTCACTGTATTTTTCTAATGGCTATAATGGGAATTGTATTGATTTGGTTGTGACGGAAACTATGGGTCTCTACTGGTAATGTGTTGCCTTCTATTGGTGTCATGTTAAAATCTCAAAATCCTAATGGAATAAGGCTCAAAACAGGATTGCCAGGTCTCTGTGACAAAACCTGTCTGAAGGCCAATCAAAAATAGCCCAAAACAAGCCTGAATTACCCTATCCAAACATCAAAACTCAACATATGCCACACCATTACCTAAAATACATATTTTACATTCACTTTTGTGTGTTATTCACAATTTCAACTTAAAAATAGCAAAGTCTGTTTTCATAAAGGAGCTGAAAACCACTCCCTTTTGGGGGTTACAAGTAGCCCAGTTGTGCCGGAAAACTTGCCAACTATGCTACTGGAAACCATTTGGTAATGTTTTTAATAGTTAACAGTTGATGGTTCGTAATGTATTTGTAGTGCAAAACATTAGAACTTCTCTGATGGTTTCTTGTTGCTCTTGTTTTTCAGCGGGGATGTTTTTGTGACACAAAAGAATTGTTATTTTTTTTCCTGAAAACGGACATTTCTGCTTCTTTGAACATAATGTTGGGCTTCATGTGGACCCCTTTTAGGATGACTTTATTGTGCAGTGAAAAGAACAACCGGAACATTTTGCATCCACAGAACAAAGAATGGCAAATGTCACGAGCGCGAGTAAACAAGGACAGACCGTCCTCATGTGAACAATCCCTTTGAGAGCATGTAAAGAAGAGGTAACATCCATCAGGCTTTTTTGGCCCCACTTCTCTGTTTCTGTCTGCGGAGGTGAGCCTCGATCTCGTGCCGGAAGAGCAACATTCCCAGCTGGCCGTGCGAGGCTTCGTTCATGGCCTTGGACTGCATGCACATCTTGTACTGGTCTGGGGGCAACTCGTCCGCGCAGCGCTTCTCGTGCCACAGGTGGAAGAGGCCGCGGGACGGGGCGCGCACTACTAGTAGATTACTGTGGAGGTACTTCCTGTACAGGTGCACGTCTTCGCCGCCCCAGCCTTTAATGTCCACGTCGAAACCCCCTGGAAGAGTGGGAGACAGTCAATAGGGCAATGAACATGATCACATTGAGGATTTAATGCCTTCTCAAGATCCAAAAATTTACACTTGAGATTGGTTCGGCATAGAAAGGTTAACAAACTTTCACAGCGCACACAATGCCTCTGCACCCGATTTCTCTCAACATAGGGACATAATAGCTTTCAGTAAATACAAACAAAGTAACTTGTACTTATTTGGAAAAGTAATCGGATTACTTGTAATGCGTTACCCCCAACACTGGAAACAACTGATGCATTTGTAACTCATTCCAAAGAGCTCCGTTATCAGCCATGTACAGTGGAAAATGAAATCATATCCAAACCAGCTGGTCCGGATCGGCAAGGAGTGGAACAGTTAAGAGAACGGTTCACCCTGATGGTGGAAAAGTAGCTACAGTCTCAACATGTTCAGTTGTTTTGTCAGATAGCCCTAAAACGTCAATGACTTCTTAACGGGTTCATCAAAACAATACTCTCTCCTCCTGTCCTTACAAACCTTTACAACTGACTTTTCTTCTGTGTAACACAAAGATTCAAAACGTTTCAGTCCACACCCATCCGACACCCGTCTCTTTCCACACCCATCCGACATCAGTCCTCGAGAGAGCTTCGAGGACTGGAGAATGGTGGACTTCGGCCTTGTTCATCAATCTCAAGTTGCAACTTGCGAGTGGTGCGGTACCAAGTCCCGAGGCCTTCTCTATTCCTTCAGAGGTGTGTGTGTGTGACTAAAATGTAACCCTGACCGTTTTACTTGCCTTATTTTTGTTAAACCTCTGGGGTCGTCAAACGCGCCGGCACGTTTTGCTGGATTTTTTTCACATAGTAGCAAAATAGACTTAAAATACTCTATTATTTATGGTCATACAAATTTAAGAAGTATGAAAAAAAACTGTTAAATGTCTACTTTATGTGTCCATTTACAATCGAATCAAAATTGCTTTTATAAAATTAAGAAAATACACAGGATGTGCTTTCTGCCACCGTCTCGAAACTTTGTTTTTTTTGTGAACACGTCTCTAAAACTTAACAAAACTCAGCGAATACTATTCATCCAGGCAAGAGCAGTATATCTTTATAATCATTTAAAATGAATTATTTTCAAATATATGCATTTATAAGTGTGTATATAAACAAATATACATTTTATAATGACATTATAATTGTACATGTATATTAATATGTTTTAAATAGCATTATGATTACTGTAGGCTAATAGGCTCATGTAGCAGGGCATTCAGTTACTTTTGAAAGGACAAAAATAAGATGTCAGTGTATTTCATTAAACTTTAACTTTGCCAACTATAAAAAAATCTAGCATTTCCTCACGTTTTACCTGATTTTTAGTGACAGTTGATATGTATGTGGCCACTAGCCGATGACAGTTACTTACAGCCATCCACGCCCATTAAAGTTGCATTTTTCAAAAAGATTGTGAGCTAGACTTGAGCTGAAAGAGGTGGGTTTCATGACCCTTTAATGCAGCCAGCTGCAATAATAATGCATTCACAAAAAAATAAATAAAAAATGTTTACATACATCATCTGTTGTTATAAAAAGGAAGTTTGAACTTCCCTCAGGACAAACAGCTCTGTTGTCTGTTCCTGTTATTGTGTAGGAAAGCGTGTAAATGTGTATTTGTTCAGTCCGAATCTCCATTTGAACAGTAGTGTAATATGATGTAGCTTATGTATTTGCTTAATTGTGCTTATGAAGCAAAGTGAAACTTTGAAAACTTCCCTCAATGGAGCATAGGATTTCTGCCACATGTCTGCTGAGATGTCATGTGATGCTACTAAACACGGCTGAAGCATCAGTATCAGCCCTTGTTGTGTCAGGTAATGTTACTCATGTCCACCCAGGTAATGGGCTCTATGCACGGCGTCATTTCCGGTGAAGGATTAAGGATGCTCGAAAACTTCCGCCGATCATAGAGTCCAATGCAATATCGAGAATTTATATTGAATTTTATACTCCATGGTTACACTAATGAAACGTTAGTCACAAAAACAGATAAAACAGACACCCCTCGTTGTGTTTATGCTTCTTTTTAAAATTATATTAAATAAACATAACTATATATAAAATTACATCTAAACGTATGTACGTTTCGTTTCAAAGACGGGAGGACAGTAAATATTGAAGACTCTGCCATAATCCCGTTTTCTCCGGTTTTCCTCCGCTTTAATCTACACAACCGGAAACGGACGAGCATCCTTACGTCAAATGCGGAACTTATGCGTGCATATAGCCCATTGGTTAAGTTATGAGAACAGCTTGATTCTCACAAGTCGAACCTGTTGTGTTTACTGAGACTGCATTATTGTTTGACAGTTTGTGCATTTTACTTCTACATACCGTCTCTACAGTGCTTTTTAAATTCAAAACAACATTCAAAAATGACCTTAAAAAGAAGGACATTTACCTATATTGATGAAGTCGGATCTGTATTGGCAGGTCATTCCAAACCCAAAGTCCCTCCAAAAGCCAGTGTCCTTTTTAATGATCTGTAAAAGAATGAATCCTGATGAGTATGAACACTAATATACTTCTTTATAGTTGTCTACTGTCTTGGGTCTCATTCCCGGTCCAATTTTATCACTTGCCCAATCGCAAATGTGTGTAAAAATTGATGTGGTGAGTAAATAAAACTGCCAGTTGCCAGTAACTATATAACAAACTCAAAGAATGATGGCAAATTGACAAGAATTTTAACAAGTGTTATTATCGTTAAAGGTGCAGTATGTAATATTGACAGCTGGTGGTGGAAATGGGTACTGCAGTCCAAATTCAAAATGTTGGAGAGGATGGTTTCCCCCGCCCTACATAGACTGTACGCTCGCGCTAGTTGCCAGAGAGCCATCTCTCAAACGCATCTCTATTTATGCCTCTGGTCATGGAGCTTTTTAGATGAATGGCGAGGCTTTTTAGGTTGTGTAGAATCTGCGATCTCTGACTCAGTTTGCTGGCTTTCACGGCTGCAGTACGCTATGTTTTCCACCAATTCCACCGACAACCCAGGGTGTTGAAATACTTCTGAGTAAACTGGCAGTGGGCGGGAAGTTGCAGTTTGACCATGGAAAAGGTTTGCAAAGTTACAGAGCACAATGTCACACCAAAGGGAGTTGTTCTCTATTTCAATAAGCATGGTTTGTGAACTCCCTGAAACGCCTCCATTGTAGTTTTAAGTTTTCAGTCAGTTTGTTTGCTGGCTTCCATGGCTGCAATAGGCTGTGTTTCCCACCAACTAGCAACCAGGGTGTTGAAATATTACTGGGTAAACTGTCAGTGGGCAAGATCACACAAAACAAAACACATTTCGACCTGGAACACACATTTAAAGTAGAATAACTGGCTGTTGCATTGTTTTTCCAAAAAAAAAATAGTATTCGAATTTGAATTTGCATGTTTCCTAAAGCTCTACAAACATGATACTTTTATGCTTTAGTACAGTCAAAACAAATTACATACAGCACTTTTAACGAAAAATAAGCAGGAACACCATACTAATACTGTTTACCCCCCTTTCGTCTTCAGAACTGCCTTAATTCTACATGGCATTGATTCAACAAGGTGCTGAAAAAATTCTTTAGAGATGTTGGCCCATATTGATAGCATCTTGCAGTTATTGGAGATTTGTGGGATGCACATCCAGGGCACGAAGCTCCCGTTCCACCACATCCCAAAGATCTTCTATTGGGTTGAGATGTGGTGACTGTGGGGGGCATTTTAGTACAGTGAACTCATTGTCATGTTCAAGAAACTAATTTCAAATGATTCGAGATGGTGCATTATCCTGCTGGAAGTAGCCATCAGAGGATGGGTACAGTGGCCATAAAGGGATGGACATGGTCAGAAACGATGCTCCGGTAGGCCGTGGCATTTAAACAATGCCCAATTGGCACTAAGGGGCCTAAACTGTGCAAAGAAAACATCCCCCACACCATTACACCACCACCACCAGCCTGCACAGTGGTAACAAGGCATGTTCTCATTCTGTTTACACCAAATTCTGACTCTACCATCTGAATGTCTCAACAGAAATCGAGACTCATCAGTCCAGGCAACATTTTTCCAGTCTTCAACTGTCCAATTTGAGTGAGCTCTTGCAAATTGTAGCCCCTTTTTCCTATTTGTTGTAGCCCATCCGCCTCAAGGTTGTGAGTGTTGTGGCTTCACAAATGCTTTGCGGCATACCTCGGTTGTAACGAGTGGTTATTTAAGTCAAAGTTGCTTTTCTCAGCTTAAATCAGTTGGCTCAATCGCCCGCAGGACTGCCACATATGGGATGTTTTTCCCTTTTCACACCATTCTTTGTAAATGGTTGTGCGAGAAAATCCCAGTAACTGAGCAGATTGTGAAATACTCAGACATCTATACCTAACAACCATGCCACCCTCGAAAAATTGCTTAAATTACCTTTCTTTCCCATTCTGACATTCAGACCCCGTTTACACCTGGTATTAAAATGCGATCTGTATCCAGATAAGTTATCCGGATAATAAGTACTGATTGCATTTACACCTGGCCACATAAATGTGTTTTTGCAAAACGGATATAAATCCGATCTTCACCTCCTGCGTTATATGCAGATTTATTGGATTGCACGCCACCAAAAGCAACAGATCTGAGCGGCATTTTATTGATCATCAGCTAATTTCCAAATCAGAGACATCAATAAGAGAGAGTGGCAACAGGCCTGGTAAGATAATTTCGTTTCTTTACTTGAAGATGTGTTAACTGCGTCTGTGACTTACTTTCACTTTTATTTGCGATGTTTGCACGTTGAATAGACGCTCAGCTGCTCATCTGCGGTGATGCGTGTCGCGTGTCGCATCTGACTAGGCTATAATATGACATATAGCCTATATAACACGCTCTCACTCGTTTATTTTTTAGCATTTTTGGGAGGAGTAAAATATACATATGTGGTTTCAACAACCAGATTGCGTTTACACCTAGTAAAGATCCGGACACAATGCGAGCCAGACTACCTCCAGATGTGGTCAGTCAGATCCGATCACGATCCGATCACAACGCGTTTACACCTTGCATTAACATGCGTTTTTTATTATCCGGATAACTTATCTGGATACAGATCGCATTTTAATACCAGGTGTAAACGGGGTCTCTGTTTGGAGTTCAGGAGATTGTCTTGACCAGGACCACACCCCCTAAATGCATTGAAGCAACTGCCAGGTGACTGGCTGATTAGATAATTGCATTAAAGAGAAATTGCACAGGTGTTCCTAATAATCCTTTACGTGAGTGTAGATGGAACAAAATCATGAAGGGTCTTTTTTGCAAAATGCAGAGAGACAGAGACTAATTGTAAAAAAAAAAATAAAAGAGCAAAATACAAGAGCAACATTTTTTTTAAATATAAATACTGCAAAATATATTACAGTCCAATAGGCCAAGAGATTTTCTCAATTCAATCAGCATTTGTGGTTGTAGCTAAATGTAATTTTGCCCCATAGCCTCATGTCAGCTTTCCGCATTATCAGCACATTTAATCAAGCCCTTTATCATCTACAAGTCCAGAATATCAATGCCACGCGACCGTGATGATTGTGTGTTCCTTCACAATGGAGCAATTAATCACATCAAACTTGATGAAGCATTTTAATCTCCTGATGAAATGAGTTGCATTACCAGCTGCTGTTCCACAGAGGGGGCGTGATCGTGGCTGCCGTAGATTACAGCTGGATTGTACTGGCTGAAGAGAACTGGGTAAAACACTTTCTTTCCTAAAACAGAGTAAGACAATGTCATCACACAGCCGGCTATGACACCAACATGACAATAAGCACTTAGATGATCACCCTCTCTCTAATATAATCTTAGAATCAACATAAATGTATTTACACTACCAGTCAAATGTTTGGGGTCACATGATCCTTCAGAAATGATTCTAATATGATGATTTGCTGCTCAGGACATCTCAGATTATTATCAATGTTGGCCATTTTTAAGTGTTTTGGGGCTATATATATACAGTAGTGTTTCCTCTGTTGTCTCACCGGGCTGGGCATTAAGACGACATGTGTTCAGGAAGTCGGCTGTGAAGAAGATGTCCACGTCACAGAAGAAGAGCAGGACATTGCCTCCCTTCCAGGCACGAGCGCCCACATCCAGCCCTCGACCCCGCGAAAACTCCTCATTTAGCTGGATCAGAGTGAAGTTACGGAAGTTCAGCTCCCTGCAAGAAAATCACAGACACATGAAGAATCACACACTGTCAATGCTCATCAATGAGAGAATGTTATCTTGTTGTTCTTTAATAACATACGTTTCTGGAAACAGGGCCATATAAATCAGAGACAAATCATAAGACCATCATAACTTTTTTTTTTTTTGTATGTTTCACATCATTTTTTTTGGTCTGGTTCCCAAGGGAGCACCTGGAGATGATGTTTGGTACTCACACTTTATGCAGCACACTTATTATACAAGCTGCTAAACTGTAAAAAGTAAACAATGTTCATCTTTGTTAAAGCTGTATTTTTATTTTATTAACATAAAGTGACAGCAGCCTAATATTCCTGCTGTCACTTTAAGATCGAACGCACGACCGAATATACTGACACAAATTCGATTTCTTTCTCAACTGTTTACTTATGACATAACTTGCCGAGGCAGGTATTTTGACATCATTTTAAATGTATAGCAGCGTTTCCACTGAAATTACCTGGAACAATTTATCCCAGGAAAAATAATGTGTTTTCTGAACATTCAAGCATGGCAACCTGTTCTAGACTTAAATTAAGAGAAAAAGGGCACAACATGGCCTCTAAACTTGTTATCTTAAAGAATTTAAAGACTGTCAAAAGATTTAACATATTTTTTATGAAAATGGTAGCAAAGTTTTTCAAAACCATGTGAATCCAACAATGAATACAAAGACTATTACCACTAAAACGAAGCACACTAAATATACGTTTCATTGTCTGTTGGGGGGAAAAGTTAAGTCGATTGTGACGGTAGTGAAAGATGTGTTCTGCGATTGATGGCGGGTGCGTGACCTGCATCACTTCTCATGGATATAGGAATAACAGGCATCCTCAGCCAGTCTGTGTGACTATGAATACATTCAGCCGCATAGACACAGACACACACAAGATGATTAAAGTGTAATGTTCTGGGCTGGAGCCAAGCTGTATAAAAGCTCAATGCCACCACACACAGAGTGCAGATAATACCTGCTATTAAAGCCATACAGCTGTTTTAGCAGGAACAGGAAGAGACACTTCCTTTATATTAGTGAATCACTAACAGCGCATTACATGTTACAAACACTCCATTCTAATGGAGAGATGATCAGTCTTTGGCCTGGGAAAGACTTTTTTAAATAAACATACATTTTGTTGTTGTTTTTTTTTACAACGGTTTTAAGTTTGGGCACTTAAGACTTAAAAAATAATACTTTTAATCAGGAAGTACCCATTAAATTACTCAAGAGTAAAGACATTTATAAAACATTTCTTTTTCAAATAAATGCTGTTTTTTTAACTTCTATTACATCAAAGAATCCTGAGAAAAATGTATCATGCATGCATCACAAGTCGTTTTGGATAAAAGTGCCTGCTAAATGAATAAATTTACAAGGCATAAAGTGTTCCCAATGATTTCTGAAGGATCATGTGACACTGAAGACTGGCATATTGATGCTGAAAATACAGCTTTACCATCACTGGAATAAATTACCATTTTAAATATATCAATACTAATATATAATTATTATTATTTCACACTATTATTGTCTTTCAAAAACAAAAATCTTTCCAACTCTAAACTTTGGTTTGGTGGCAGTCTGTCTATTATGTAAACATGAACAGGACACAAAAAGACAGAAAATATGGTATTCATAAAAAAGCAATGAAACCCTGGAGCCACAAGCATTCAGACACTAGAAAAATGCATGTAAAGCACCTGTCACATGTGGCTGTCCGCTGCTCTTATTGGCCCAATACAAAAAATAGGCCAGAATGTCTGCCTGAAATAAAATAAAAAAGCACCTACTTTCCCTGACCGAGATTCATAACCTATGAAAACATTGCTGCAACCCATGGGAGTCACACTGAATAAAAAACAGTATACCCGGCAAAAAAAAAAAAATGTTCAAGAGCCACTAGTCCTGAAGATTTAGAGCAGTTACAAATAGCATACAAGATATGATCTAAGCCACATTAGCGGAACAGATTTGGAAAAGAGCCCGGGGCGTTTCGGCATGCATGTGATATTCAATTCACCATCAGCCACAAAAAACAAAACAAAAAAAAACTCCCCAAATATTTGTGATACTGACTTGTTTTCAAAGGCATTCATTGCATTTTTTTGCCATTTCACTTCAGCTTTGGGACCTTTACTATTTAATATAGGGCTCACTATAGACTATAGTTATCACTATATATATATATATATATATAGTGTATATACAGTACTAGCCTGTTTTTTATTAGATTTAACTCAATTCTGAAGACAAATTTGTCCGCAAACTATAAATGAATCCACACACAGTCACTAGCATGTCTGATTGCTTCAGGGTGATGCTTAAGTGTGGTTATTTCAAAATGAGCACTTGGATCATAAATGTCATCATGAATATGAACCAGGTTTGTATAATGCAGTATTACTTACACTCTCCTCTCCTCCCTTTCTCAAATGAACACAAATTATTCATGTGTATGGATTGACTTTGCCCAGCAGATCCGGATATCACATCTACCTACTTCTGTGAGGACTGACACTGCGGTTTTATAGCAGTGAAGCGTCTACAGATTCTCAACAGCAATGTATGTGTGTGGCTTCAAAAGAGTCAACATTTCTGTTGTTTATGTTTTCAGTTTTTTTTTTATTAGATTTTTTTATAATGCTACTTTTCTTGCCCTTGCAATGCTTGCTTTTGTTGTTTAATCTTAAGATTGTGTGGTTTCAGGAGATCTTTACCTGCAAAGGTTAGAGATACAAAAGAATGTCTCCATCTCAAGGGTTTTAACGTCAATGGACGATGTTGTAAAAAGCTGCAATTCGTGGAACCTGGTTTTCCGCCAATAAAAAAAGGTAATTGCGACACAATTAACAATTTTCACAATTGTCGAAAGTCACAATTACCTTTTTATTTTTTATTCCGTCGAGGAAAAAAGCTTCCATTGTAATTTTCCTTTTTTTGTGCACTGTAAAAAATTATTGTGATTTTAACGGTAAAAGAACCGCAAATTACTGAACCGTTTTACAGTAAGTTTCCTTACTATGGTGAATATCCAACCTTACCTGTAAAATACTGTTAAATTTACAGTTTTTGGAAATTAAAAAGAACAAGTCAGTGTATAATTTACAGTATAAAAAATCTAAACTGACAAATTCCCTATGTGACACTCCACATTTGATGTATTTCCATTGAAATTTTCCATTTTTCTTCGTTTTTTTTTTCTAATTCGTTACATACATTAGGGTTTTTGTTACATCTAATGTTGTTAAATAAATGTTTATTGTTCATGTCATGACCTTCTTAGCTTGAGGAAAAGCTTCTTGTGATGAACTTCTTGTGATTCATCATGTGACTTTCTCTATTTTGGTGGTTGTCATTGCATTAGAAAGGTACAAAACAGATATTAGTATAAGTTGCTATAATAACAGTTCAGTTTGTGAAATAGGGTTTTTACTGTAAATTTATGTTAAATCTGTAAACCTAAAAAGCTTCTACTGTATTTTTTACAATACATTTCTGGCAACCACAGCTGCCCTGCCAGTTTCACAGTGTGTAGCATAATAAAAGATGAGAAAAAAAATACCCTGCTCATTTTTATCATCATGATTTCGCCTCCTGCTTTCTGCTATTTAAAGACTCTCTCAGTCAACCTCTCATGCTAATAGTTCAGTTAAAGTAAGAAATTGTTGATGTTGGACATTCAAGGTGACAAAACTCTTGGTGATATGGGATTCAAGCACAAGTTTATGTAAACGATCAGTCAGCCAATGCAGCAACTGTCAGATACTGTATGAAGTGAAGCAAAATGAAGGTAATAGCAACGGGGTGCAATTTTCCTCTTCTCAAATTATTTTTCTCTACCCACACATAGGACATAAATCACAAAAATGATGTGTGGGAAATTGTGTCAAAATGTGTGGCCATTCCAAGTGGGTTTGATTCGTGGATTTAGAGTCATTCGTCTTGTTTATGATATGATGCATTATCTACTGCAACAATACATGCTTTCTCCCCGAGAATGCGAATTTTATCAGCTAGAAACAGAGTATTACTGTAGGTTAAATAAAATTACATTGAATTTTTTAACCAGCACATTAAAGTTGTGGTCAGATGTTCAAGGGCTATGGCTAGTTCTGCAGCTCATCAAAATCCTTATGAAAAGTAGCAGTAGAAATACTCAGAATGGGCAAATTCAGGACACACAAGGTGAGCCGCGTGACCGAATTTGTGGAATAATGTTCACTACCAAAGAAAAGCAATAATTGTGGTTTCAATACTGTACATACAAATGGGAGGGCTACACCTACACTAAAAAACAATTTAGTAAATGTGATAATATGATATTATGATTGATTAAAATGATTTTCTGTGGTAATTATGATAATGATAATAATTACATCTGAGAGCTTTCTGTCCCTCCATCGACAGTCTACACAACTACCACTTTCAAGCCTCATTAAAGTCATTAAAGTAGTCCATGTGACTCCAATAATTTAACCTCAATTTTATTAAGCTACGCAAGTGCTTTGTTTACTTTAATGATGTCTTTACAACCTTTCTGGGGCTTGAAAGTGGTAGTTGCGTAGGTCGTCAATGGAGGGACAGAAATCTCTCAGATTCCGCATAAAGATCTTCCTTTGTGTTTCAAAGACGAACGGAAGTCTTACGAGTTTGAAACGACATGAGGGTGAGTAAATGATGGCAGAAATGTCATTTTTTAGGTCAATCCTATAACTTGTATTTGAGGGAAATTGCTTTAAGAATTGATTTCTGGATCAGAGAGAAGCCAGTGAATTCCCAGAGAACAAACAGGAGCTGTGCTGATTATTGGCCCTTCCCTATCGTAAAAGGTACAAGGCCATGATTGCTTTCCCATTTCTCTAAAAGTGTCCTTGTATGTGGGAACAACCTGGTCAAGAAAGACAGATCTGAAAACCAATGTGTCCAGTCGCATTTCAATGCTTCTCCATAAAGAAAAAAGGCATTTTCTTCTTGTGAATTGAGAGATATCTTATCTGCTGCAATGCAGGGAGGTTTCCAGCATGACCCTGGCTGGATTCCAGGCAATCAACTGCTCTGTTGATTTCATCTGCCTCCGAGCAGCATCTGAGCTGACCTGTTATTTTCACACGGGATGGAGGTCAGAGTCACTGCAGTCTAACAGTGCAGATTCACTGACCTCCGATCTGTAATCACGACAGTGCCGCTAACCCCTGCTGTGCTCTCATGATTACAGATTTGAGGTGTGTGTGCCAGTGCGATTGATGATGACAAATAGTCAAAGAATATTAGAAAGCATTTCGGTTTATGACGTTAACCGATGACTCACTGGGAAAGGGAGTTTTTACACTGCTTTTGGATTGACACTATGGGTACGCCATTTGATGCAGGCGACAAACACGCTAATTTCATTGGCCAATGAGGTCACACGCTTTGATTTCAGATGGACTGCATACTTCCGCTCTATTTCAGTTCGCTTCTGTACTCAGTTTGAGACATCGACATGTCTCTCAGTTTTCCTCCGGCCTGAAAACAACCGGCCAATCAACGAACAGAGGGCGGGCTGAGAGCCGTGACATAGCACGGGACACGGATTGTATTTTAGGTTAGAGAAATCGAAAACGACTACAGATATGAGACCCGGGATGCAATTCTCTCTGTTGTGGAGAATATTCCTGGCATTTGCAAATTGAAGCCTGAACAAGACGAGTGTATGTTAAACATTTTGAATGGAGGTGATGTTGTGGCGCTACTTCTGACAGGTTTAGGAAAAAGTTTAATTTATCAACTATTAACGATTGTCAGCGAGAAGCTGGGCAGGCCAAAGGCCGGAAAGTCGATAGTTTTGATTGCCGGGCGGCCAGTTTGATTGTGTCTGCCTTCGTTGCACTCATGGAGGATCAGGTTAAGGAGGCAGCAAAACTCGGTCGGCCATGTTCACTCCAGTATTTCGCTCGATGGTTTTGTTTTCGCAACATACACGTGTTTACAGTGGAAGTTTAAACGTTATGTGATCGGCTTATGGGTAACCAATGATTTTATACTTCAGACAAGCACCCCCCGCGACAAAAAAGAAAACACTTTTCAATTATGCCATTCCAGACTCTGTCTACGAAGCAAAGTCACAGATCACTGATTGGTCAGACAGAATTATCAGTGATCACTACCAGCGTCATTGTATTTGCGAGACATCAAACCAACCCACTAGATTTAAATAGCCAGTAACAGCCACCGCTATAGCGCCTGTTTTAAAACTACTTGCTTGACTTGCTTGAAGAAAAAAGAAAGAAAGAAATCGTGGACAGTGGACGAATTGCAGACGTTCCTTTCGTTGTTTACCGAGGAGCAGATAAACTATAACGGTCAGACTATAATCCCACCCTCTTTGAAGCGGTACTAACTGCAGTGGAAAAGCAAACCCAGCTAAAGCGAACCTAGCCGTGTCGAGTCATACCACGCAGTGGAAAAAAGCCGAACCGTGCCACGCCGAACCGTACCGAGCCACTCTCACAGTGGACAATTTCAGACCCCTCAACGATTTCTAAGTGGGAGAGCTTGCAAAATAGCAGGGTGTTCAAATACTTATTTTGCTCACTGTACATTTTTGGTCAAGATATTGTATTGACAATAAAGTCTACTCCAGCACATCCCCAAAGACTTTCAACGAATTTAAGGTCTGGTACAAGGTCCTGGCAATAATAATATGAATAATTCAATGATTCAATAATTATTTTGTTTGACCAAGAATGTTATGAATTGCCTTTAATTACATATTAAAATATATTATATTATAAATCTATTACAGGATATATTATAATGTTATAATCCGATATTTATTAATATCTATTCTAAAATATTACATATATTTAACACCACCCAAAATTTGATGCATATATCTTGTTAAAAAATTCAAGCTGACTTTGCATTTGATTATTACTCAGTATATCATCATCATCTTTTATTCATACAACTCTTTCAGCATTTTAATATATTCATGAAGATGGGTATTTTAAGTCTGATCTATAAATTGAAAGGAATTATTTATGTTGATTAGCACTATGTAGACTTTCTGATAGCAGAAGCTGAGTGTGTTCATTTGATCAGTTTAAAGACCTACAGTTCGGACGATACCCATAATGCATTCAGGATGACTGGAAGGAACTTATGAAACCCATCTAGTTCCTTTTTGTTTTAACTGTATTTCTCAGCCTTAACTGCTCCACTGTGTGGATACAAACACATATTAACATGCCATACCTCGATGTGTTCTCCAAGGTTCCTTTGACCTCGTTCATCTGGTCCCTTCCAAAGTAAACCACGGTAAGGTGCACCCGCCCGTCCTGCTTCACACACACCTCTCTGTGGACACGCACAGAAACAAACACACACTGAGGTCAGCAGCACTCAGCGGGGCAATCTACAGCTCCAAAAAGGAACCGAGAAAGAGAAAACAGAGGAGGACAAATATAATAAGTGCTAAACACTTTGAAACCCAATGTATTATTCATAACTGATGTACTGTTATTGTGATGCCAAATCAAAATTGCATTACAGCAACAAAAACTATACAAAGCATTTGTGGGTAGAGTAGGCAACATAAAAATAGGTAGCATAATTATATACATTATAAATCCCAGGATGCATTGCAATGAGCTCAGTGGGAAGAAATTATGCAAGATGAAAGAGCTATTGAGTAGGCCTTGAGAGAAGCATGTATGAAGATACTGTTGCAGATTTCGACAAGACAAGCTCACCCCTACAGGGCCACTGCAAACGCAACACACAAGGACTGCAGCGCTAGCGGGAAATTCCTGATGATCTGAAGCAGCTACATTCCGATAGAGGTGTGGCGAATGTTTTGAGAAGATCCTGAACATTATCTTTTTTACGTCCCATGTACAATAAATACATGGTTAGACACCAGAGATGCTTCAGTCTAAAACATGACATGATGATTTTTGATGGTTAGTGGTAATTTAGCGGTTCAGATTTGGTTTAATCCCTGAAAACTTGAATGGGAAAGAGACATCTTTTTTTTGTTTTTACCATTTTTAGGCCATACCATTTTATTGAACAAAAGTATGGAGAAAAGCATGGAAACTGGAATTGGTATATTGCCCATGCCACATTCAAATCTAATTTTCCTTATTTATTAAGCGTTTATCAACGTCTCTGGAGCTCATAGTTCTCTGATATAATGTGCCATACTTCTGTGTAATTTTGAGGAAAAAAAAAACATAAATTAGCATATAAATACACTCCCATTCAAAAGTTTGGGGTCAGTAAGATTTATTGCAATGGGACATTAAATTAGCCTGGCTAACGTCAGACCTTGTTTCATTGACATTGAGACGTGGTCTGGGAACCACGTGTTCATTTTCTCATATTTGAGACGTGGTTTACGAATGCCCAGAGCCATTTATTGGGTGCTACCGTGCTACGAATGTCTATCAAATGAGCCTGTACGTTTCAATTACAATCGTTTCAATTACACCAGCTGGCGTATGTAGAGCAAGAGAAATTAGACGAGGAAGAAGACGATGGGTCAGAGATTTATTTGCGTTCTAAACTACTTAGAACAATATCTAAGGCTGCATCGAAAGGTAACTTCGGTGTGTCGCATAGACGTCATCATCATCTTGCTGCTCCCTCCCTGTTCTGTGATTGGTCCCTCGTGAATAAAATCGCGCTGCGCTAAGGCAGTATGGGGAAACCCAGGCTAGCATTAAAGGCATTCATAATGTTACAAAAAAAAAATCTATTTCAAATAAATGTTGTTATTTTGAACTGCGTATTAATCAAAGAATCCTGAAAAAAACATGAATTACGTTTTCCACAAAAATAGAGCAGCACAACTAAAATCTGTTTTTCTGATGAATACAAACACTATCTATATGCTGTGCTACCCAAGTACATGCCGTAACAAATTTGTGTGATGCTCTGCTGGCATTGAGCTCATTCTGTTCGTAACCCACAATCCCCTTGTTTGTCCTCTCTTGCCTCTGAAACGAGAATGAGGTCAAAGTGTTTGCTCAACGCTTAATATAAGACGCTTAAAACACTGCTCAGAGGCACTAATTTAACAAAACTTAAATTAGATGTAGAGGTTGGAGGGAAATGATTCAGAAATTCTAACACATGTAGAGGGAAAAAAGGACTGAAGAAACTTTTCACAAATAGGGTAAAAAATAGGACCCAAAACCATTTCGAACAGGCCAACTCTCAAAGTGGTTTTGGCATGTTAATGAATATGGCAATGTTAATTATTTAGGTATGCAGGAATCTGCTACGCTGCTTCTGCGACTGTATGAACTTGCCACTGCCATTAGATTCACTTACACGCTGCTGTGAGCATGTAAGATATTAATAGACATGCATAAACCAATTAGCAGATTTAGATTTAGGCAGGTGGAGCTAGGGGAGGTGGAGGGTTTCAGTGGAACTGCTGGACTAGACTACTGCAAACACTGAAGCAGATGTTATTACGTCATAGTGCAATGAAAGACCGCCTCTGCAGAAGAACATCAACACCTAGCCTACTTCTACATCATTGCCTCTTTAGCCCCGCCCACCATTTTGAGTATGTCGAGCAGTAAAAGTAATAGAAAATACGAGAGAGTTTTGTTTTGACACAGCCAATACTTACAAAGCATATTTAATACGCATAAAGGTTTCACGTTGTTGGCAAGTGTTTGTAACTATGTAACCAGATATTTTTCAACATCGGAAGTTTTCAAAACAATTTCACACATGTAATGGCGTGTAATTACATTGAAAATTATTGTAATATGCAAAACTGTTACCCATTCATGGCAGTGGGCAAAAAGAGAGTAATCGAAAGAGAGGGTCAAAAACAGGATAGAAAATAGCTTTTCTTCAAAATTAGGATTTTTGGTGTAAAAATCTTGTGTGATTTGGAACATTATAAAAAAAAGAAAAAAGCATCTGATGACCCCCTTAGAGAACACTTTAAGATGTCAAAAAGATTCTATATATAAGGGGAAATTAATATATTCTAAATAGGATACAGAGAAATATGTTTTTTTTTCTATTTTAACGGTTATTTCGATTTTTTTCTAGCGTCGATAAAGCAATTTAATTCATACAATTTAATCCAAATAAAATAAAAATTACAACAAAATTAATACATTTAAACTAAATCCATAACATGATCCCATGATGGGAAGCCCTTAAAGCTTCTATATATGAAGCACCTGACAGAACCCTTTAAAGTTCTATAGAACCTGTTCTTCTGAAAATGATAAATAATACACATCAAAATTAAATAGACAAAATATATACTACAAAATATATATTAGCATACTTCAAATTTAGTATGGACAGGCTAGTCTAGGACCAGATGTTAATGAAAATTACACAGTACAGAAACTTTTTTGGTCATATTTATTTATATTGTTTGTGTAAAATTTGAGAAAATGTTACTACAGGTGTTTTATGTGGTTGACTAAATCATGCGATATTAGGTTTGCATGAAAAATTAACTGAATATAAATTCAACAAATATGCTTTAAAAATACTGGACACCAAAACATACCTTATTAATGGAAAGTGGCAGGAAAATATGTATGAATGTGAGAAAGAAAGAAAGAAAGAAAGAAAGAAAGAAAGAAAGAAAGAAAGAAAGAAAGAAAGAAAGAAAGAAAGAAAGAAAGAAAGAAAGAAAGAAAGAAAAGAGGCAGAGGATGATAAATAACAGATAATAACAGAGAACGAAGAGAATGAGAGGTGTCACCTGAAGTTGTGCATAAACTGTTTGAATTTGTCGGCTCTCTGGGACAGAGGCAGCACAATGTTAATGGGCATGTTGGCGGTTTCCACAAGCTCACTTTTCACTTTCACGAGGGGGCCGAAGGGGCGGAAGAGAACCAGCCTGCGGAACTCCAGTTTCTGCTCGCCGCGGAAGGTCAGCTCGTACAGCGTGCCCTTGTCCTTTTCAGTGCGCGCTATGCCTGCGGAGATGAGAAGACATTGAGAACAGTGAAGAAAAGGAACGATTTTCCCGAACACCCACACAGACACGCACACGCACGCACAAGCAAAGCAAAATTCAAAGAAGACTAAAGCTCAAGGACAAATACTACAAAGATAAACACAAACATGAAGGAAGACACACAAATAGAGATTAAAAACGCAGACATTGAAAAGATTGTCACAAATCTCTTGACTGAAAAACCCAGAGGAAAGTAACATTGTATTTGCAACTTTGTCTCTAGATGTTTTTGTGTGAGACATTTTTGTATTATATCTTCTAAAACTCTAAAAGGAGACAGTCTCAGTGACAAACATTTGCATGGATTATTTCACATTTATACACAAAGGAGAAATTGTCACGAAAAATCTTTTTGCCTAATTCGCAACGTGTGTACATGAATTTGTTAACCTTGTTCTGATGTTAATGAATTTGGAGTATTCTGAGCTAATGCAGAGGAACCTCGCAGCTCAAGCTATAATGCAGCTTTTTTCTTATTCATTCAAGCTGTGTAAGAAAGGAAGCTGATTTGTTAACTCGCTGCCTTATCAGGCAATCAACTTTATAGGCAGCGTTTGCTAATTTTGGGCAGACTTCTAAAGCAGCATAACGGTTTAATGATTCACAGAAAAATAGAGAGAGATTTGGTGATAATTAAGTGAATTTCTACCTACTACAACAATAATTTATCACTAGAAATGACATCAAAAGTGGAAAACGTTGGTCAAACATGTACATTGACACACAAACTGACCAGCAACCACAACTTTCAGATGCCATCTTCATTTGTATTATATTTAACTGTCAGAGAATGGAAAGCAGAGGATTGTGGGATATTAAAGCCAGTGAAGGATACATCTATGCTGCCTTCAGAAATCGATCAGATGAAGGTATCTCAGCTCAGGAGACAGGAAGTTAAACTATTGGATTTAGACGTGCCTTGAAATGCTTTCTCGGAAGGCAGCATTTTTAATCTTTTGGACGCAGCCAAAGAGTGATTTGTGTGGTGGTTTAAGTATGTGTGGTTTAAGTTGTTCCAACATTTATGATTTTTTGTGTGGATATATAATACATTTTAGTTTGAAAGGTATTTGTGAATCATGATTTGTTTGCGAAAATATCAGTCTTTTGTAGATTTTACAAACATATTTTAGCTTACAAATGCTTAGTGAATGAGAAAGTAATTGAGATAATACATCTCATTTGTTGTTTTTTTTATTTCCTATCAGAATCTATGAAAATTCATAATTGATAAATAACATACAAAATCAAATATTGGCATGAAGTGTGGCATAACTAACTTAGACTTAAAGGGATACTCCACTTTTTTTGGAAATAGGCTCATTTTACAACTCCCTCAGAGTTAAACAGTTGAGTTTTAACGTTTTCAAATCCATTCAGCCAATATTCTGATATTAAGAAGAATATCAGTAACCAGACACATTCTGGTCCCACTGACTTCCATAGTAGGAAAAATATATATACTATGGAAGTCAATGGGACCAGAATCTGTCTGGTTACTGATATTCTTCCAAATATCAGAAAATCGGCGGAATGGATTTGAAAACGTTAAAACCCAACTGTTTAACTAGGGGGGAGTTGTAAAATGAGCCTATTTCCAAAAAAAGTGGAGTATATCACTTAAAAAGGATAAAAATTAGATGCAAATTAGAGCAATGAGACTGAATGAAGAATGAGATTTCTGATTGAAATAAAAAGTCACACATTGCAATTTGAACTAACATTTGTCGTCAAATTCCTTAAAGATCAAATTATCTGAGCTATGCTGAGGAATTTCAGAAGAAACATCTGGGCAGATGTTGAGAGAGTACCAGGTCATCTGAGGCTTGAGTTACATACTTTAACGCTTTTGAAAATGATCCAAATAAACTCTTTAGAGAGATCTGCACTGTATACAGCATCAAATGTGTATTGTTCAGGTTCCATTATCAGTGGTGCTGATAGTGACTCATATTCTAGAGAAAAATCATGTTCATGCAAGGCTTGCATTTGGTTAAGAGTTGTATGAAGTATGTATATACTTCACAGCTTCATACTTCATTAGCTTTTGGTAGCACAGTGTGGTAATGGTATTATGATCTACACTGGGAAGCATGTGTATCTAATTTGTGATAATGAAAGTTGCTATGGTGTTCTGTGAGGTGTTTAGGTCATTTCAATGCGATTGCTCGAGTGTTCTGGACGGTTTCTGCAGTATGCGGTAGCCTACTGGACAAAGTTAACAGACTCAATTTAAGTCTGTGGGATATTTTCACCTGTTTTATTTTCTGCCAGGTGAATTGGGTAAGTTTGATCATTGAGATTGAGAAAGCACAATTCGTTTGTCCAAATCCCTAACCCAAAGCAGCAACAGTGATGTTGTCTGCCTTAGCAAACTAGCAAAATGGAATAATGATTATGTTCAGCCCCTTTCCAGTCCACCCATAAAATGCTTTTATAGGAAAAGCAGGGCCATTAGCGAAGCCATCTGAATCAATACAAGCTACTAACAGCAAAAACATCAAAGCATAACCGGCAGACTCAATTCCCCCTCGCTGAAAAACTAGCTACAGTAAATAAGACAAAACATTACTTCGCTCAACATAATCACGTGAGTTACCGAACATTGATAACATTATCTCAGGGAAAAAGTGCACTTTTACATGATCTGGGATTTCTTTCCCTCTCTAAATTGGATTGTGTCACCGCAAAAAGGGTCTGGGTAAAGGAGCACTATATACAGTTAGCCAACAGAGATAACAGACACAGGATAATGAGAGAGAAACATGTATCCCTTGAGGGACGGGGTGGGAGAGTTATTTTTGTAGAAATAGCAACAATTTTTACAATAATAACAATAATTTTTGTTATTTGTGGGTAAAAAGATATGTTTTCTGCAAACATTCCTGTTTGCTGAAGCACCGTTTCAGGGATAATGGTCAAGCTTCCTTCCAGTTTTTTTTCAGGGCCAAACATTTATAGAATGTCCAACAATATTATTCAGTCTTGTTCAGTGTTAGCAAGACGTCTGGGTAAATTGACATTGTGTCTGGACACTGTGTTGTAAGTTATAACAGACAGGGCCTCTGGCTAAGACTTGGCATTGGCTCTCTTTGAATTCTTCACAAGCTCTCCATTGTTGATGTGAAGTAGAGTAGGTCTATTCAATTATACAGTGAAAAGGACTCGAATTTACAAGAAATAGCCTAGTCTTCTTTATAAAAATGCACACATTTTTTATTTATTTATTTTTTTTTTGTTAAACACCACCTAGACCAGCAACAAACCAGCATACAGTAACACGAGATTCTATTCTGGTCTTTTCAGCAGGAATGTTAGGTAAATCTCACTTCTGCTTTCAGCTTAGCAAACTGATCTCGAAAGTTTGCAAATTTAACCATAGCTCAATTCAAGCATTGCCGTTTCAAGAGCTGGGAACAGTTATTGACTAATCAAGGTGCATACATTAGCAACATGAATAATGTATTTCCTGTAAAGTTTATAACCAGTAAGATGCGTCACTTTCTCTCTAGAGGAAATGGCAGAGATGACAGCTTGGAATATAAAGCAGCTGTGTCCATTTCCTTGAGTCATCACGGGATATCCTGACTAGCATGTTTCCATGGGTTTACGGGATGCACTTAAAAAAAAAATTACATCGGTTTACTGACTTTCTTTTGCAACATGCTTCAGATATCATTTTGAGAGATTTTTTTCCAAATGTGTCCAACAAGCTCTAAAGACCTAAATCAATGGCCCAGAGACATGCAGAGATGTCCTATGGTACATTATTTAAAGTTTGTCAACTCTGCACCAGTAGCACTAAATGGAATAGCATAAACAGTGTTTCCAAACAGGCTTCCAAAAAACTCCTACCATCCTTTTCCAAACCAATCTAACACTAAAATCGTGTGACTATACTGAAACGGTCAGTATTTTAACATTTACAGATCACATGAGTCTGGAATATTCCTATAAGTAGCTTCTTACCTTCTATAAAATCTGCTGGTGTGTAGACTTTACTGGCTTTAATTCTGTCTCCACCTTGATTCGGCGCATTGAGGGACTGCAGCGCACTCTCCACCACCTCCCCCAGTTCGTCCCTGCGGTCCTTCCTCACTGGCTTCTCCTCGGGGTGACGGGTCAACCCCATTTCCAGCTGGTAGACGCGTTGTAAGGTGAAGCTCTCAAAGGGCACCACAGCGTACTCGCTCGGCAGTCGCACCCCACTGTGTACCTCAGCCCGGCTCAGCTGGCTGCGTAGGAACTCCTGCAGGTCGCTGTGACTGCGCTCGTCAGCCACGTCACCCCCCGTGCCCCTCCCAGCCGTCTTCTCCAAAGAGTTCTGCATGCCCTTAAGTTGTTCGCTCCGTTCCTGGAGAGCCTCTTTAAGTTGAGCAATTTGTTTTTTCAAGCTGGCAATATGCTGCCGGTGCTGCTCTTCCCGCTCTTGAAGCAGGGCCTGAAATCCTTCCCGTCCAGCAGGGCCAATTGGGGCACCTCCAACACCACCTGGCCTGCTTGGACCCCCAGCAATAGCCATCCCTCCAGGCCTGGGAAGGGGTTGCCCAGCCATGGGCTCATCAGCATGGGGGCTGCAAGAGATGACATAAAGAAGGGAAAGGCAACAGCACACCACCACTAACAGAACACCCACACGTGAGAGCCAAGACAGCAGACCCCTGCGCAGCATCACAACTGACAACCTCAACAACAAGGCGGGTAAGAAGATGTAGTTCAATAAAGTTGGGGCATCTGTGTGTACCATCAAAAACAAGACGTAAAGATCAGCCAAAGGTTGCCCGCGCCAGAACTGCTTGTTGAAGTCACCAGCGTTTACGTCTTTGATTAAAAAGAAGAACTGTTTGTGTTTTGTCTGTTGACTAAAGTCTTATATTTCCAAGGTGCAGACAACAAATAAGGTTTTGTTCAAATTTTTACTGTCGATTCCCATTTCCCTGCTTTTTAAACTTCAGCCTGGCTCTTCAGCCACATACTTTGTCATGGGTCAAGTTACGGCCACTTCCTCCTCTTCAGGATACTCTTAGTTCTCTGTCCAGACAAATAAACCATTTGACCAGTTCAGTAGCGACATGCGCATATCTCCATCTGGTGAAAATTGCTCATTCTTCTTGGAGGTAGCATGACAGACCCTTGAGAGAATGTCTGGAATGGATCTTCCATTCTACAGCACTCCCAATGGCCCAAAAGAGAAAACCATTCATTGCAGGTTTAGACATTAAACGCCAATTGCTTTGGTTCATTAAAAATTAGTTGGCTCCTCATATATGCCATCCATTTCTTTTAACCGCATATAACAGTCCAATGTCGTTGAAAAACACGGAGGTTGTTTCCCCAAAGAGTTTTCAGGTGGTCTGTATGACTTCCTTAATCTCTTCAGAGTCTCTTGCATGTTTCATCATGAGTAGCTTCTGATCTTCACAGATATATCTAGAAAAAGGTAGAGAAAAGAAGATTAAATTCAATATGTTCTGTAGAAACAGATCCGTAGGTGGATGAAGGTCTCCTGTATGTTAATCAGTCGGGCTTCAAAGTACATCAACACTGATAGCTTGCATTATCATACCATAAAACAGACAAAATAGAGATGAGGGAGACAGGGTTCAAGTTAGTTCAAATCTTATTTGCAAAGTTAAATTCAGGACCAACGCAGCCAACAAAGCATTTTGGGACGGCTCCAGTTCTGGAGAACAGTGCTGTCACTGATGTGTGAAAATAAGAGATGTGTGTTAAAAGCACTCTTATGGGAACACACCTGACAACTCACACGGGGGAAGAACAGCCGCACTGTAAGTTGAGCAAACATACACGAAAGGCAGAGCATTCATAGACATACACACACACGCACAAACACATGTGTATCTGTGATCACGGGAACACACAGGAACACTGTGTTAGCAAGTTGGAAAGCTGTGGTGGTAAAAGATACAACATGAAAAAAAAAGAGCGTAAAGAGATCTAGGAATCTCTGAATATGTGTGTGTGTGTGTGTGCTGACTCACCACACAATTAGCTCTTTATAGGTTAGTGGGAGGCTTGATTTAATGAAAGGATTAGTTATGTTAGTGGTGAATACTGGACTGTATCAAGGGGTGTTGGACACAGACCAGCACTGAGGAGAGAGGTGTCTATCTGAGACTGGCACTCAAATATGAACCCACTCAATTATTGAAAAACTCCATCCACCCATCAATTCTCGCACTCACCTATTTATACAATAAGACATCAATTCATTCACACTGATTCACTCAATTCACTAACTGATTCAATCATTCATTTAATCATGGTCTAGTTAATTTAATCTCTTTTCTTTATTTTACTCGCTTACTCTCTCACTCACAATCACTACTCACACTCAGTCAAACACTCTCTGCCACACACTCACTCATTTTTTTAATTTTATTTATTAGGGTCCATGTACTATTTCAAACATAAATGTTACGATTTGATTGTGAGTTAGCCAAAGGCTAATTTACATCTGCAGTCCCCTGGCTGGTAGGGTACAATAAAAAACACTTCCTAACCCCCAATTCACTCTTTCATATATTCACACATTCATCGCGCACACACTGACACACATTATCACTCACTCACTGAAATGCAGTGAAAAGGAGTTGAGACATTTGTATTGAGTTTAATTAGTCCCAGGTGTGGTTGTATTGCACAAGACGCAACAGTTCAATTCAATAATTTTTTTTGTTAATTCACTCACTGATTGATTCATTTAATGATGTACTTTGTCATTCTTCCACTCACTGACTGAGTCATTCAATCACTTATTTCTTCATTCTTCCACTCACTGATTCATTTAATGACATACTTGTTCATTCTTACACTCACTGACTGATTCATTCAATCACTTATGTCTTCATTCTTACACTCACTGACTGATTCATTTAATGACGTACTTGTTCATTCTTACACTCACTGACTGATTCATTCAATCACTTATATCTTCATTCTTACACTCACTTACTGATTCATTCAATCACTTATATCTTCATTCCTACACTCACTGACTGATTCATTCAATCACTTATATCTTCATTCTTACACTCACTGACTGATTCATTTAATGATGTACTTGTTCATTCTTCCACTCACTGACTGATTCATTCAATCACTTATATCTTCATTCCTACACTCACTGACTGATTCATTCAATCACTTATGTCTTCATTCTTACACTCACTTACTGATTCATTTAATGACTTACTTGTTCATTCTTACACTGACTGATTCATTCAATCACTTATGTCTTCATTTTTACACTCACTGACTGATTCATTTAATGACGTACTTGTTCATTCTTACACTCACTGACTGATTCATTCAATCACTTATTGGTTCACACTAACAACGTTTAACCTGTGCACGACCACTGTCATTATTATATTATAAATGGTTGTATTGGCCTTTTACACGTCCAGCCACTCGTATCTGGTGTAGAGTGTCATTCATAAACCCTTTCATTTATTTACTCACTCACTCGTATAATTGACACTTATTTACTCGCCCACTCTCTCTTTAAGTTCTTTACTAATTTACACACTTAATTATTTACTCTCAATTACTTGTTCAATTATTCAATCGTTCACTTAGTCATTTGCTTATTCATTCAATCAATCACTTATTAATTCACTCATCATCACTCTGACATCAGGGTTTCCTCTTTTGTATACAGCACTCTGACAAATTTTCTTTCTCTTTCTTTCTTTTCTTTCTCTTCGTCCCATTTAGGAGCTCACACGTGAGTGGTGCAAAAGATGCTTCACACCATGTTGTGCTGTTCCAGGCCAGCTCACTCGCACAGCAGCCTGGACGAGCACAGCACGAGTCTGCCAGCAATTCATTCTCCCCGCTGTGCCCATGCCATACAACACCAGAGCCAAGACCACGGACCAAACACACGGCTGAACAGCTCTGAGGAAAGTTAGGAGGGGCTTGACAACCTCAAACAAATGAGAAAGGGACACTTCAATTTTCCCTTCTGAAACAGAGTGTTCTTGTTTTAATAGATGCGATTTGCCATCTTGCTAACAACAGCTTATTCTTTAAACGTTGGCCTACTCTGTGGTCAAACTTTATCATCCCTGTTGGAAAATCCAGCTGTGTTTGGAACTAACTGGTATAAGCTGGTCATTTACTGGTTGCCCAGCCAACATGTTCTAATAAACCAGCCTGAACTCCTTGAGCTAAAATGTGGTTTGTTTGGTAGCTGGTCTAAGATGATTTACCAGCTCTCAGACCAACTAAACGCCAAATACTTTGTTCCAAAACACAGCAACCAGTTTATAAACTAGATTTCCTGGCAGAAATAAATTAGATTTAAAGTCCCCCTGTGGTGAAAATCCAGCTTTGTGGTGTTGCTTTAAGACAAACCATGTGCAAATTCATAAGCCAACACCATTGTGGAGTATTTTCTCCTTAAAACTACAGTGAACCAAATACAGTCTCAAAAAACATTGGTGTTTCTGACGTAATAAACTAACTTGTAACCAATCAGGTCAATGTGTGATCATCAATGAGTGGATCTCTGAGCTGGAGTGAGTGAGTGGAGGCCGGGCTAATTTGCATATTTATAGAACAGCGTATGCTAAATGAGGCAAGGGTAGAGTTACATTCAAGCTATTTTAAGGTGTAAAAAATAATTCAAGGAAATGTTGTATGTAAAAAGTATGTAATTTCACTGATTAAAGATTAGTTTTAAGGGACAAAATGACTGACGGGTGGCACTTTAAGTTTTACCAACACCACAACATGCACAACATTTTGCGACAATGCTGTTAATGCCTTCCGTTTCAGGTCTTCCTTAAAGATCTTAATCAGTGTAAAAGCTCTAGCGTGTCTACAAGTATCGTTTGGTTTGAGAACCAAGCACATTTACATTAGTTCAATTACTTTCACAAGCCTTCAACTGCAGAGTCAGCTGCAGTTATACTATCTGGCTGTGGTGTGCAGTCAGGAAATGGTGTGTTTTTTTCCTCATTTTGCAATTTTCATTTTCACAGGCTTCTGCTAACCCTCGCGCCTGACTGCAGTAAGAGCCTTTCACAGAGGATCGGGACTTAAACACAGAGACATTTTAATAAAGCATACAATTATTTGAATACACCACACATTTTATGTTTCTGAATTATAATTCATTTGACTTTTTTTAGGATACCGAAACTGTGCAAATATCACAATTTAGAAACGAAAAGCCTCATTAAAACAATTAAATGATTGATATTTAAACAAATCATGTGGTGCAACCAATATGTAAAAACATGCAGGAAATCATAGAGAGAGAACCTCATGATTGTGGGTGTATCTGAAATCGCATAATTCCCTATAAAGTAGGTGACAAAAGTTTTAAGTCCAAATTGTCAGTACTCATAAAAGAGTAAGCAAAAAGTACTCAGATGACCTACTTCTTCCGGCGAGATTCTGATTTACTATCCCATGAGGCAACGGGACAGGATTTTATGAATGGCAGTGAAGCGACTATTCTCCAAATCCTCGATTCGATTACATTTTCGATACTCTCAATACTTTTTTTTAACTTATTTACCTTATAAAATATTTAAAAGCTCTTTTTAATGACTTTAATGTATACACTCAAAGTAGGGAAAAGGTGTTAAGAACAATACATTCTTTTTTTACTTGATGGTTGTGCCAGTTGACATTTCTATGAGTCACTAAATTGAAACCTTTTTTGAAAATGGTATAAAAACAGTTTGCCAATACCATATGAAAGCAACAAAAATAGAATCTGTGACGTCCTTTTAAAAGATTTTTTTTTTCTGAGCATCAACTACACCATCTGCATTTCTGGCTTGAAAGCCTAAAAATGGATTTTACTGCCAGAAAAAAAGATGTAAAGAGAAGGATAGACAGAGAAGGAAATAAAGAGAACCCCTCAACATCACTCTGTATGCAGCGACTTTGCTCTTAATTAAACTACTTCCTGTGTCCACAGGCCACGGGTGCCTGACATGGGCTTCCTGTTGGTCCCATTAAATTAGACAGCACCAGCTGCATGTCCATATCCCTGTGTAAGTTCAGCTCCCATCATCAAAGACAAGCCTGACACACACACACAATAAATCCAAGGAGGAACATAAAAGAGCTTCGCATTTTTCTTCATAAATGAATGATCTGAAATCCTCATCCATGACTTTCCTTTAAACTGTCAATGCTCATATAAATAATAGATGCTTCGGATTGTGTAACCGAGCAATGCTGCAGAATCACAACGACTGGTATAAAATATTTTATTGGAAGTCTATTCTACACAAACGCGCCCGTTGTTTTTGAAAGAAGCACATCAGCACCACTGAAAGAAGACATCAGCATTCCCTTGAGGGTTGCAGAGAGGTCTTTGAAGAGGAACTGTCTGAACCGGCTAATTTAACAAGGTGGGATATCCAGATTGAGAAAAAGAGAGTCACAAGGTGTTTCACTGCTGCATTAGAGGGAGGACACCAGAGAAAGCAATTCCAGGTGTTGCATGTTCCTTTCATGGAAAACAAGGGGGAAGAGAGGCCCCTGCTGAAAAACACAACACTGCTGGTGACCAGCGCAAAGTATGTTTTGCATGCTGGGACCAGCATGGGATGCCGGTTGCTGGTGGACCAGATCTAAACAGCTTGGGCCAACATGAATATGTGATGGTTTGTACTGGATTTTAAGCAGGGGTTGAGGGGACGGAAAAAGTTAATCGTGGAAAACCAGGGAATGTGTGAGCTTTAGAGAAACAGAGCAGAAGAGAGAGAGAAAGGTCTCTTTGATGTCCTTCTGGGCCTCAGGTGATTCTCATTCCCCTTAATTAAGTTGGATCTCTTCGTGTGTGACCCAGATCATACCTATCACATGGCCTGCCTTTAAAATCATAAAACAGTGTTCACAAGTCATTTTATGTCAGTTTATGACACATTTCTCAGTGAAAGAAGATCGCGGAGGAACAAAGGTGGGACTTGATTTTATCAGGAATTGATTCAATCGCATTTAGATTGGCTTGTGCCAATATTTAAACAGAGAAGGCTAACACTTCATGTATAGTTATATATTAGCTTGGTAACATGCTAATTCCAAACTACTGAAATCAATTTCAGTCGAGTCTCTCAAGCATATTTGAAGAGTTCAGATGCAAAAGCCTCTAAATGCCATTTGAAAGTTTCTTCTTTAATGATGATTTTTATCAAACTTGTATATTTAAGTTCAGTAATTTCACTTAAATGGCAATGAACTTAACTTAAATATACAAGTTTGATAAAAATCATCATTAAAGATGAAAATTTCAAATGGCATTTAGAGGCTTTTGCATCTGAACTCTTCATTTATATGTCCTCGTATTAAGATACCACATTTTCACATTTAATTCTTATAATTAAAAAAATAGATCTAATTAACTTAGACTTTTACCCAGAATTTGTGTGTTATGATATTTATAGTTATTAAAATGTGTCCACATTGCTGACATGTTTACCTGTTGTAGCTTTTCCACATTGTCAGGATGAAATCGACACCAAAACAATCAAAAGTGCTAAATAAATGTCACTGTATAATTGATTTTGGCCCTCCAAAACTATTTTTGTTAAAATATTTAAGGCTGTTCCAGTGCAACACTTATTAGTCATTTAAAACCCCAAAAATCTAAGTTAAAATATTAAAATAGTTCATCAAGGATCTAATTTATACTGTTTTATCCAATATATGTGTTATGAGTATTAGCTTAGCAACATGCTAAACTCTATTGAAATTAACTGTAAGTCAAGTCTGTCCTGTGTGATACTAAGTTTATGAGTTGGGAATTTGTAAATATGATGACACGTGTGTTCAAGTCACGTTTGTCGGCAAGATGGCAATGTACCTTCTATACAAAAAAATACAGTAATATTTTTTGGTTACTTCTACAAAATTGTAAATAAAGATGGTGCACCAGGTGTGTTTGTTTTTTTTGTTTTTTTTGTAATTTAAAATGCTACTGTAATAGTACAATACTGTCGGATTTTGTTTATGCAGCTTAATTCAATGTAATTTACAGACTCCATTGTATCTTTCATATTTTTTTTTCAAATGCAAATAGACTGAATTTTGATTTAATGTTACACGCCCCTTCATACACAACCACCATTCATACTCCTTCTGAAACCAACATACAACAAAACACATGTCAGCACTTTAAAAACACACTAGTCTCTCATTACGACAAATATCTCCGTCTCCTTCAACTTGAGGTTTCCGACATCCAGCAGCCTCTTAATTCAAGCAACTACATATTTACGGTCAACCTCCGCCCCCCCCCCCCCCCCCCCAAACACCCCCACAAGAACAATATGTCTTCAAAACTCAGAAAAGGAAAATTAGATGACAGGACACTTGTCTTCATTCCATGCAGTCTTAGAAGGACAATATTTATGGCTCCGTCATTCAGACCTCCCCTCCAAACAAGCCACAAGCATTTTAATACAGCATAGATTGCGATATACATAACCATTTTGTTCGAAACAGCAGATTTTGATTGGGTGTATGGACGAATGAATCATAAAAAAGAGAAAAAAACATTGAGTTTTCATCTAGAATGAGTGCTGACAGGCTCTAGCCACATGTTTCCCACATTTCAGCCACAATTGAAGGACACTTGTTCATAAAAAATGTACTCTGAAATCTTTATAAAACACAAATATGCTCTTGAACAGAGCAGCGGGAAGTCGGGAACAGACAATCCTGCCTATTTGTCCAACAAGTGGCTCTTGATTCAGCCAGAGGAGAGAGAGAAATGCATCAATGCTCTGCAAATGTTCAATGAACAATTGAATACTCGTATGGCAGAATATACTGTATGTGTCAGAGATCACCATGAAAAAATATTATCCCAAAATGCACTGCTCATGACTTGATCTTCCATTGCCAGCATGGTGAACACAACTAAAATCATTTTACCTACTTTCTTGAGTCACTATTTGATAGGATTGCAAAAAGTTAAGACCAATTTGTATTAATATGCAAATTAACCTTTCAGTACGCAAAGGCATTTATACACTAACTTGATCATCATCTTGCAGAATTAAAGGGATAGTTCGGTCAATGTTGATACAACGATCAATGGGGTCCAATGTTGTATGGTTCGAAACATTTTTCAAAATGTCTTTGTTTATGTTCCACGAAAGATAGTCATGGTCATACAGTTTCAAAACAACATGAAGGTCACTATGACTAGACTAATGCAAGCTAAACATAATATTTAGTAGCAATACAGTGCAACACAAGTGCAGCTTGATTTTTAATTTTCCTTCTCTTTAATAAGGCTTTGTTGTGTGCCTCAATTGGCCAAATGCTTCTTTCAGCCCAAAACAGCAGGGCCGCGCATTGCTATAGAGATCACATACTTGAGGACACCTAGTCACCATAGCAATCTCCTCAACAGGTTGGCAGGGCAATAGTGACAGCTTTTCAAGCATGAGACGGACACCAGATTGTCTTCTGGAAGCAAGAGAGAATATAGGATGGCAACACTCTGTTCTCCGTGGTTTTTGATAAACGGAAAGTGCTTCAAAGTCAGTCTTGTTTTGGTGGTGTCAGCCGTGCAGAAATCATACACTTTCACCATCATTTAGATTAGAAGATTTAGATAAGCCTTTGAATTTGCATGCCACTATTGTCAGGGAATTAGCAGGGATTTGTTTCAGTGCCGCATAATGTATAATAAACACCTACAGACTGCTGCGAAATCTACAGATATTCCAACCCAGGAAAGCACAGGAAATTAATATTAATAAGCTTGAATGTATGTGCGTGTGTGTGTGTGAGAGAGAAAGCGGGCATTAGTGTGAGGAAAAAATGAAATAATCAGAGAGCCAACATTGAATAAGACATTACTATTAAAAAAACTCATCAGTATGGGAAAATGAGCGGGGACTGAAATTAAAATGGAGTTTTGATTTAAAGCTGCTATTGAATGTTCAAATGAGTTTGATGTCTAGACGTGCAGCAGCTCTCTATTAAGAAGGAAATGAAATGACTATTTTAACTAATGCTACATCCTATGCTTTGAGCAATAGCCATCATTCTGTTAGTGCAGAGGAAGCAGATTCAGTTTGGCTGACGGCCCAACAGTTAAAAAGTAAAATGGTGTTCATGGTAAGTTTTGTAGAGGTTTTAGGTTGCATTTCCTTTTTTCAGATCAAATGATTTAACATGCATGAATGAGGATTTGTACTTCTTATTAGTGTATTAAAATCATTTTTATTTTATTTTTTTTTTAACAAAAAACCTGTTGGACCCTGTTGTTTTTTTAACTGAAAATTCAGCTTTGATCACAGGAATAAATTATGTTTTGAAATTTAACATTTCACAATATTAATGAAATTCTAATGCGCTTTGGTGACAAATAAGAGACTTCTTTATAAAACATTTAAAAATCTTACCAACCCCAAACGTTTCAAACGTAGAGCATAATTCACTTAGATACGTTTCTGAAGTGACTGTTCAAATCTTCCTTCTTACAGGATTGATTCAGATGACTCACCTGAACAAACTGACGACTCTACAAGTGCAAATATTTGGAAGTCAGTTTCTTTACATATACTTTTAAACATTTCCACTATTCCCCACAAGAAAGATATAATTCATTCAAACACTATTGATCCTATAGTGGAACATGTTGACGCACTATATAGGGTAAGACATCTCAATGGAGCCTGCCATTAAACAGCCTGCAAAAGGCTTTACAGAAAGAGTAAGACATTTATAAAACAGCAAACAAGTAAAATATAACTTTAAAATATTAAATGAAAAACAAATCCTGCAATTATATATATTAATCAATGAAAAACCTTTCTTCAGTGTAATGCCTCTTGTTTGAATGTTGTTTTTATTGTGTTGACAAGTTAACAGCTATTACAAAAATATGAAGATACAGTAATTTTAACTTTGGAATTACATTATTTAGGATGGTTTAAACCAACTAGGTGTTTGAAACCAACATACAAAATCAATAATTTGTTTAACTGGACTTTACACTCGACTCTCTTAGCTACAGATCTTGATCTTGAACTTCATGTGAAGTAGACTAGCGTTTTTACTGTTCAATAACAGTTTCAAACAGTAGTTACGAATGATGGAAATTATTATAATAAGGACCACCACCAATGCTTCTAGTCTGCATCTGTTGCTGAGTGTGAGGAATATGGCTTACCAACACACCAGAGAAGATGAGCAGTCAGCGTGCCTCATTGGCCAGAGTCCTCCTGAACAGCGCGCAGTGTGCTGGAACAGCATGCGGTGGAGAGTGAGCGGAGAAGCGGCGTGTGTGTTTCTCTCTCTCTCTCTATCTCTCTCTCTCTCTCGGCGAAACCGGATCCTCCGGTCCACCCCACCCCAACAGCCCGGAGCTGCCTCCGCCTCCAGTGCGCGCATAAAGGCTGCGTTGTGTTACCTGCAGCCGAGTCCGACACACTCCTGACGCCCCGCACGCTTCTCTTATAAGCCTGGGAGGAGAAACTTATTTAGCATCTATTCTGCAGCATTTATTCCGTCGAGCGACACTTTCTTCTCTTAAGCTCCATCAGGCTATAGCCTATTCATTTCTGCCCTGCACTCTTAATGTCCCTGTTTAAACAAATAGGTATAACTTGTATAAACAAATAAATAGCCCACGCGCGATTTAAGCCAAATCACACGCACGAGAGCGCGGCTACTGAAAATCGAGGTGATCTTATGCCTTGCAGATATTCAACTTTATTTGATGTTTTAATTGAACAGTTGTATAAAAAGTAACTGTATAGCCTGGTTAAATTATAAAACGGACGAGTTGATATATTTTTCATCAATGAAAATGCTTTGCATTGCAGTCGCTGGAGAAGCGTATGGAGCGGATTACTCACTCACTTTGCTAAAGGTGCAGTCGCATTAGTCGTTGTTCAGGGAATTTAGCATGGTGGGGAAAATAATTGGGAAACAATCTGATTGTGAATTTTGTGTGAGGGCTAAGGGGGAATGATTCTCGAAAACGGTTCATTTTGGTCACGCAAATTCACGTGAATGGGTTTGAAAGTAAATTATGTGTGAACTGTAGCGTGCTTCATAGGCTGACAATTTTTTTTTTTTTTTGGCCAGAAAATGTGACATTTCGCTAATGTGACCATATCTTAAAGGGATAGCCTACTCCTCCACCCAATAATGGACAATTCTCTTATCATATTCACCCTGAGGACATCAACTTCAAGCTTCACAGCATGCTGGCAGTTGACCGGAAGTGACGTTCAAAATATTAGTATTTTTCTCACACAGACCTTCATAAGACACAATGTGTTTTACTACTACTGATATGGATTATGTTCACTAGTGTGGTTTTTAAAGAGTCAACTTTCAAGGACCCATCCACTTGCATGAACTCACAGAGATGGCATTATGTAGCCTAGATGTAGAATCTTGGACGGCATGGGGTTGCTTAGTAAATGTGAGAGAATTTTTCATTTTTAGGTGGAGTACATCCCTTTAAGAGAATTCGGCAATAATGAAGGAGGCCCCCAAACGATTTCGTTATTATTTATTAAATTATTCAAGCGTCCTTGTTTTATAAGGCCTACTAAAACATAATCAGTTCGGGTCACTGGGCTGGTCTGTATGCACCCCGTAACGAACAGTTGAAGCTATTCATCCCCTCCTGTTGAGGTCTATTTTAGGGGTTGTTTACCCTGTTTGGATTAAGTTCGATGGTAGTGCTTTCTTGGACTAAACTGTAGTCTATATTTTTTAAAGCAAATAGTTGGCAGTACCGTTTGTATAACCTTTGTTTTTGTAAATGCTACACTGATTACCTGACTACAATACGTTGTGTAAAACAGCAATGACTTTTTTTCATTCCCTTTTTATCTAGGTAAACAGCGCCTCCTGCTGGCCAACACAGGTGAAACAGCAAGACACTTTGGAGTAGACTAATTGACAATTTTTTCAACATTAAATGTAACAACAAAACAAGTGTGAGGTGTGAGGCAAAAGTCCCTTTAGTGATATTGTTACGAATCCACTGGAGGCAAGCTGGTTGAGAACCCAAATTCAATGTTTCTACAAAACATAATCAAATATAAAACAAGGGCATGGCAAGGCATGAAACTCAGAACAAGAATCTGGACAAACATTCATCACTAGACCATGACACAGGGCAAATATGAGGACTAAATACACAGACAAGGAACACCTGTGAACAATAATCATAGACTATTAACAAATGACAAGACACATGGCAGGATCACACAACAATCAGGGTATCACATGACAGACAAGAACAAGGAACAAGACAAAAAAAAAAAAAAAAACACAACGTGACAGATATAAAGGCACAATTTGCCATCTTCCTTAAACACTTTGATCCATAAATTTCTTCCAGCCATCCTAATAAGATAGATCAGTGATATAGCCTACTGATGGGAGCTTCTACCCTTTCAGTTTAAACATTACTTGATTGACATTTTTGTCACGCATATACCACCAACAAACAAGATATACTGTACAAATAGGGTGTACAAATCAATGGCACAAAGCATTTCACATTCTTGAGAAAAGGAACTCCGATTGAAGCTGAATAAAATGTTGACAGGCTGTAAAGGGTTTCAAAGGTCAACCACAGAATTGGCTAATGTGTGTTACTTGATCTCCAGCCGTGTGTTTGCTATACAAAATGTGAGATATATGGGAGCTGTGGCATTTCCAGAGGTGGATACTGGTGCTTCACTCATTCAGTAGTGCTATAACTTGGTAACAGCATGCATTAAACAGAGAGAAGTACAGGCCATAGTCTGAATGAAACTTACAATTATGGACCCTGTTGACTTTTGTTGTATGGACAAAAAACACTTGAGACTTTTTAGAAATCAATCAATCAATCAATCAATCAATCAATCAATCAATCAATCAATCAATCAATCAATCAATCTATCTATCTATCTATCTATCTATCTATCTATCTATCTATCTATCTATCTATCTATCTATCTATCTATCTATCTATCTATCTATCTGACTATCTGACTATCTGACTGTATGTCGTCTTGGCAATCTGACTATTCAACTTTTTAACCTTCAAAACATCCAAATTCGTTTTAAATGTCATCGTTTCAGTATACGTCATAAAGCCACTAGTTCTTGGCTCCCGGGTATAATATGTTCAAGGATTTGGGAAATGTCCCTGTTCCTTCCGTTAGACTGCGTCCTGTGCAGAGGATCACGTTCATGTTGCAGAGGCGGAGTTTAGGGTCAAAGTTTTTCCACAGAGTTCGGATTGTTGTCCCTGAAAAATGCTGCGTTAGCCGTTACAACATCGTCCCTACAACAAAACTGGTAAATATTATTATTATTATATTTTTGTTGCACTGTAACTTTTTTCTCTTTTTGAACTGTGCCCGAGCTTGACTGACTGAATAATCTGAAACATGTTAAATGACTCTGTCTGTCTTATTTACAAAAAATAAAATGACCAGATTCAAGCCTTGCCATTGTCTTACATTTAATTGTCGTCACTAGTAAACAGTGCACTTTTAAAATTCGTTGAAATGTTCAAATGTCACAGGAAATCACGAGTTAAGCTCAAGTCACGGATGAAAAGTGTTTTGTGATGCATGTCGCCTCGGTAAAAATGTTTTACTTAGTCAGAAATGCTACACAAATTGTTTTGCACGGTCTCTTTAAATAAGACATCTGTTGAAGATTTCTGTAGATGTGGCATGCGAAACTTTTCTTCAAAGTTCAAACCTAAGATTTGAATACTGAAACGCCATTTAATTGGCGATAACATTGAACTGCTGTTATGCATTAGCCTACGCTTGTTTAGATCTGACAAAACCTACGTGTTTGCCTCCAAATGTTTTTTTTAATTCAGTCATCCACACTTACTTCAGCAAAAAGAATTGTATTGCTAGAGGGCAACATGAAACTAAAATCTAAGATGCATGATTGATTTTTCCCATAGACTGTAAAAATTAGATTATTCCTAGCTTTTTCTGCATGTTACCGTTACCAATTTGCTATTTCATTCATTGCTTTATATTTAATAGCCTACTGTTTTAATGTTGCTTAAAATTGGGCCTGGAATGAATATCATATTATACAATTAAATGATAGGCTACTATCAGGTCACTATAGGCTTATAAAAAGTGAGGGGAATCAGTTGTTTTAAAATGATTAAGTAGCCTAATTAAACTTAATGCTTAATTTAAAAAACGAAGTTATGTGAACTTGACAATTCCACATAACCTTTTTTAATTAATTTTTATTACGCATGAAATGTAGGCTATTTACTTAGAGACTTTAAAGATCCAATATGTAAGAATTTTGTAATAAAATATCCAAAAATCACTTGCACAGTGTGATATATTTCCTGTAGTTGTGTACTTACAATATCCCAAGCGTCTCCAAAGTTCTTTTATTTCAGAGAAATTCCAATTTTAAATAAGTGGGCGTCCCGGAAAAAAATGTCGCATGTCAATGACGCAATATCCGCGCTATTCTCGATTTCCGCTCGTACTGCAATAGCGATGACGTAACCATGGCCACAGACGTGGATAAGTGCGTAGTGAGTAACGTTTAGCGGCACCCAGTTCTTGTTTCATTCAAACATAGACCATGGCAAGCAGACTTTGGGACAAACAAGGAGAACTAAAATGATGATCAATATCAGCGCGATGTTTTTGAGATGCCGAGAGCTAGCGGGACTTCCACTCGACAGAGAGCTACGCGCAACTAACTTGGACTTGACAGAACTTTACAAGTCACGACTTTACAGCTTTATTAGACAGGTGAGCAAATGTACATAAAACAAATCAATGTTATAACATTAGCTTGACATGAAGAAATGTTAGAAAATGGTCAGTATGTTATTCTTTTGTTGATCTAGCTGCTAGTTCCGTATAGCAAATGAACTAACACGTAGAATAACATTATAACTTTCGACACACATTTAAATGCTGTTTTGTGTGATAGTGTAACGTTATACCAAGTGGAACAGCGCTGCGTTTCCTTCACAAGTTTAATTTATCTAAATAACTGTCCTGTGTGAGTAATCCAGCACTTGCGTGTGGTTCAATTGGATGAAATTTCCTTATTCCGTTATATCCGCAGGCAGGACCCATCATTCAGCTCGTCACTGCGTCATAAACATACGCCTTTTGTTGGAAACTGCGCCCTCTTGTGGCCAAAAAAGCTACATATTGTAACTTTAAGCAACAGCCTCTCGTTCTATTGTGCATATGCGACATTAACTGCTACTTCGCGACGTTGTACCAGAGAATGTCTAATTGAAGAGAATTGGCACTGGCTGGTTACTTCCGGTTTCTGGAC